TATATATATATATATATATATATATATATATATATATATATATATTTGTTTTCTGAGGTTCTCGTGGGTATTTGTATGTGGATCTTTGGTTGTTCGGGTTTTCTCCCGCGTAAGATTCGAAGTATCTAGGCAACATTTCGATGAAGTCTCATCATCTTCAGGCTTCTGTCTCCGGCTCTGTGCTTCTCAGAGTGATGTGAGATTGCAGCTGCTTCTTCCTTTTAACTGCTAGTGGGGGTGGGACTTGATTGGGTGGGGGCTTGGCTGTGTTCTGATTGGGTGGGGGTGTGTTCTCATTGGTAGGGGGTTTGGCTGTGTTCTGATTGGTTGGGGGGTTGGCCGTGTTCTGATTGGTTGGAGGCGTGTTCTGTTCAGGTGGGGGCTTGGTTGTGCTCAGGTTAGTCTTAGTTGCTGGGGGATTTGAGTTGGTGAGCTGTGATCTTGCTGTTTGGCTTTGAGTTTGTGGTATATATAAACATTAGTAAACAAAATAGTTATTCAAAATCATTCTAGTACTGGTATGAACCTTGTAAATCTTTCACGTTTCTTTTCAATATCTATTAATCTTTGAGAACAATTGAAATGTTTCCTCCCTTCTTCATTATTACTTAACTGTTAATAAGCATACCATTGGATAGTCATACAGTTTTATCTTATAAATTATTTACTATTCATAAGTAAAATAATTATTCAAATTCATTCTAATAACTGGTATAAATTTCCTTATAAATCTTTCACATTTCTTTTCAATATTTTATCAATCTTTAGAAACAATTACGTTTCCCTCTCTTCTTTATTATTGCATTAATTATAAACATACCATTACATAACAATACAGTTTTATCTCAGATTATTTACTTATTTCATTTCTAACTCATTACAGTATTCTACTGTCACAACACTATCTTTTGTACCTTTGCAGAATCCTCACTTTTAACTTAACCATTGTCTCTGTGTTTTCTACCTGAGCAAATACCTTTAATCCTAGTACGTTTCCCCTTTTTCTTTATTTCCTGTTTTTGTCCCTCATAAGTTCTTTCCCTTTCAATCTTCCACCCCCTTTTTCTCATCCCTTTTTTATACCCTTCTCTCTCTAATTTTCCCTTCTGTAGTTTTCTTTTTAGCTCTGTCTGCTTTGACGGGCTTGGGACCACTGCAGAATGTTTATTTTTAAATTTCTCTCTATTGTCCTTCCAGTAAGGTGCACATTCCAGAGCTGTGGCTGTAAAGAACAGAGCACATCTAAAATGTTCATAAGAACAACCTTTCAGTGTGCTTCTCTCTGGCACCTTTACTGGGGAACAACACTGGAAGCATACTTTTAACCTCCAGAGTATCTAAGTAACTATTGTGAAAAAGAGGGCATTGATTAGATAAGCCAGGGGAGAAAAATCAGATCCAGTTCTCTCAAAGGTGCTTTTTTTTAAAGGCAACTGGATTGTTTTTTCCTTGAAAAAAACTTCCCATCCAAGGAGCTTCACCAATTCTGCCAGGATGGTAGGGACAATGGAAGGATTAGTTCTGCCAGGATTGGCGGGGGGGGGGGGGGAACGGGACAACTGGAAAGATAATATTTTACTTCCAGAACTGATGAAACTTCTTGAATGAAAAGCAAAACATTTTCTTATTTCTCAAGGAAAAAAAGTCCAGTTGCCTTTAAATAATCACCTTTGAGACAGTTATGACCTAGATGGCTGAGAATCTCTACAGACAGATCCAATTTATTTGCCTTTGCAGGCTAGTTGAGGTGAAGAAGAGGGTTGTCCTTTCCCTTTGGAACCAGTCATCATTCATTCACCATTATCTAAGACTGTATGATGAGGGAATCCTGTGCTTTTGACTATTGCCTTTAAAGGCATGTACCAGTATTCTGTTTTAAATTTCCAGATTACAGAGACAACTAAACCAGTGTCATTGTACAGTAATTCATGATGGAACAGAGCTCCATCATGTTAATATGATTTCAAGAGTTAAAATACGTTCATTGGACCATTACTTACACATTACTTTAATATCCAATATTTTAGTAAGAATATGCTAAATTATCTTAAGGTTTTATTGTTTGCAAACATTTCCTTCTAAAGGTAAGACTACAAAGAATAAACACTTTCATTAGTTATTCCTCTGCCTATTTCTAACCAAAAGAGTAAATACAATATACACATGTAGTTGTACCATTTTACGAAAAAAAGCCACAGTCTTTATTCCAACTTCTGATGTACAAAAATATATTTTATTAAAATCACTGAAAGTTAAGGCCACAACAAATCAATAAGACTGTATTTCCCATTTTTTGCAATGGTAAAATTATGAATACAAATAAATATTGGAAGTTGGTCCAAGTTAATGTAGATCAGTCCCCAAATGCTAAATTTTACAAAAAAATGCAATTATTACATAGATGCCATTATTGTTTCCATGTATAAACTGCAATACCTGCTTGTAAGACCTCACATATATACAAGCCTTATACTTTCATTACTATAGAATTATACATGTAGAGGAGGACTTTCTGTTTTGATATATTGATGGTGATCCTCTTTGATTTTTCTGAGTATGGTTCTGATTTTCATCTTTACTTGTTTCAGCAGATACACTGGCTTGATTTCCTGTATCCTGTTCACTTTGAGGTAGGTTTTCCAGTTTGCTTTCATCCCAACTATGTGCATTTTTCTGCTTCATAGACCTTTTAAAAAAAGAAAACTAAAACACAAAAAGAAATCAACAAAGCATATAATAATAAACAATCCTGAACAAATGAATAACATAAAAAACACTATATAAAATAGTTAAAAAGAAGGCAGCCTGAAGACTTTATCCATACTATTTTGAATTAGTATGAATTAAGAATATATTATATCTGCAATTTGGTTCATATATTCTAAAGAACATTCCATTGAATTCCAAGGATTTATTTCCAAATAACTTGCACTATATTTCAGATTTTAGCCATTTAACTACTAAAGCCAGCAGATGTAGGATAAATGACTAAAGTTCCCAATGAATTATTATAACAAACTGTTATGCAACCACATTATAATTGGTAACATATTTTGTTTACAACATTCAAATAGAGTGCAAAGTATTTTGCTAACATAAGCAGAATTATGTCACAGCAGCTTACTTTGCTTTCATTTTGCTTTTTCTTGTAGCTCTTTCAACTCTTAAATTATTCTATCCATTGTTTTCTAATTTGGTTAAATTCTTAATTTCTTTCCATTCAAAATGCCCAAGTTAGGAAATAATTTGGCTATGGAAAACTTGAACACTTCATAAAAGTTTGTGAAATGCCCAAGTATCTTAGAAATTCATATGATATAACCAGGTCATATTGTTCATTTATTTTTTTTTCAAACATGCATGAACACAGCATACATTTGTCATATTGTATTATGGAAACTGCATATTTCAATGTCAATGTATTTATTGGAAAATCAGAACATTATAAAAAAAACTAGGGTAAAATATTTGGGTATAATTAACCTTTATGCTTCTGCTGATGGAAGCAAAAATCAGAGGAGAACGTTCTAACTTAAATATATAGCTCTTCCAACCACTGCAATTTAAAATAAATAGTATTGCAAAAGTAGCAGAGTAATTTTTTTTTGCTTCCCTGTTATGCCAAAGAGGGTCTAGATCAGGAGTGTCAAACTTAAGGCCCGCAGACCAGATCTGGCCCATGGGATGCTTAGGTATGGCCCGTGAACCGTCCTGGAAACAGTGGACTAGCCCATGGTGCCACTGCAGGCAAAAATGGAGCTTGGAGGCATGCGTGCTATGAGCTGTTTTCGCTGGCAGAGGGCGGCAGGCTGCGCGTGGCTCACCTGAGCTCTGTTTTTGCTGGCAGAGGGTGGCAGGAGGCCATCGTAGCTAAAAATGGAGTTTGTGAGCCTGTTTTCACTGGCAGAGCACTTGGGCCACCACAGATGCCCCCGACATGAGGGACGTCAAAGTGGTCATGCCCACCCTGGCCATGCCCATCCTGGCTCCCCAAGGTCAAACACAACCCTGATGCAGCCCTCAATTAAACTGAGTTTGACACCCCTGGTTTAGATGATTCAATCTTGAATTTCCTTCTTACGCTTTCCTGTTTTCTCAGGATAAAATCATGTTTTATTAATCACTGATAGCTATTTTCTTTAAGGCCATTGCCATATTCGTTTATAGATCTCATGTATCTACTTGAATGTACATTAGCTTCTTCATCACTTAGGATCCCTACATTATCAGGGTCCTCACACAGAAGTCATTTGGTTTCATTTTTGCAGGCATTTCAGTTGAAACTCTAAGAAGTAGCACTTAACATAGAGTGATGCTAATGAAGTGACAGTGCTGGACCTAATTGGAGCATTCTAGGTCCTATAGTTAACACCTTAAATGGATTTTATTTCTGCATTACCTGAAATGATTCTAGGTTCATTAAAAATAGCAAGGAGAGTAACCAACCATTTTTAAGAACACTGCTCAAATACAAATGAGCATACTAAACAATTAGCAAAAATCTACTGAAATTAATATAAATCTAGATCATAACCCAAAAAGCATTTAATTATATGAAATATATAAATGAAATGGGACACGTAGGCCATTATACTGCTCTAGATATGCATGTCAAATATGGAATATTTTTTCTTTTTGATATTGTTGCAAATGATATTTTAGTTTTACCCTTTTTGCTTTATCTAGCAGTCTTCCAGATGTTCTGTCTTGATTGTCTGTAGTTGCTTGAGAAAAATTATTCTCCGTATGAATCTCAGCATTTTCACATGCTAAAAATAATACAATAAATGAGCCACCATTTTAAAATATGTTCAAGTTGCTTCAGTCACAATTTTCAAGTGGTGAACTATTTAGCTAATCAGGTATTTAGTAAAGCACAAATTGTACATCCAAGCTCAAGAATGTTTATTTTATTTAACAGATTTTAGTTTATTAGTTTTGTTTTTTTTAACAAACTTTATTCAGTTTTTCATATTAAAAACAAAAATCTCTTTTTAGTGGACAACATATTTCCGGGTCATCACCTTTACATACAAATATGACAGCAATTATACATTGATATATGCATACTTAATTCTATTATTACCTTTTCCATTCCAAATTTTCAGTAAGGAGAGAAACAAACACATTAATTCTAGCCTCTTTCATTAATCTCAATCGAAACATCTTTTTGTTTCATTTCAATTATTTCAAATATAATCCTTTAATATTTAATTTTGAAAATAAAGATAAACAATATGTGTTTGCCTAATAATAATAATAAAGTTTAATTCTAAATTCTTTCATTAATCTCAATCTAAACATCTTTTTATTTCATTTCAATTATTTCAAATATAATCCTTTAATATTTATTTTAAAAATAAAAATAAACAATATATATTTGCCTAATAATAGTAATAATGAAGTTACCAAAGTCTCTCCTTGCTTTTAATAGTCTATATTAAACTTATTAATTTAGCTGGTTCTTTAGTTTGTCATATTCCCTTTCCATTACACTTTTTTTTAATGAATACTAAATTAATACAAATTTTAACACACACACACACACACACACACACACACACACAAAGAAAAAAGAACAAGTATAGGTTTCCCCCCTTTTACTATTTTGAGTGTGACACCTTAATGATTAGAATATACCTTTATTCCCTCATCTTAATTCCCAATTAATCCCAATTAATGGGATTAAGTGGCCCAATTAATTCCCATTAATCATTACATCTTTTCAATTGGATTCCACAGCATATTTCCCCCGCTTTAATAAGAGTTATCAGTATCTATATTACCCTATTTTCTAAATATTTCAATTGCAGAAATATTCTTATTACCCCTTGTCACCCTGCAGAATCCTCTTTTTAATTCATCAACCATTATCTCTGAAAAAACAATTTCTTTTCAGCATTTTACTAGTTCTGCGTTTCTTTCTTTCACATGCCTGTTTCTTACTGCTTCTCCTCCCCCTCTTTTTCCCATATCTTTTCTAATTCCAGTTTATATCCCTCTCTTTCTTAATATCTTCCTTTCCCCTTTTCTGCTGGGTCTTTCTGCCTGTTAGATCGGTGGATCGGGTCACATAAGAGGCGAGACGCGAAAGTGAACAATCAGCTCTTTATTGTAGCTTCTGAACAAGGGCAGTTAAAGTGTGCGAGCCACTTGGCTTTATACAGCCGGCCGGCGGCTCGGCGGCCAATGGCAGCACTTTGAATCTCCCGCGATCGGCTCGGCCAATCACGGTAGATTCTTAGCGCTCCAATCACAGTCATTCAGTGGACCAATCAGGTTGCGGTCCGGGTGGACCAATCAGAATGTGAGTCTACAAGAATGTTAATACAGAACACCCCTCCCCTCATGGTTTCGTCCGACGCAGCGTCGTGACGTGGTCGCACAGGTAGGTGGGGCTCCGAATCTGTCTAGCTGACCTGCGCGGTTCAGTCTGTGTGTGATCGTCGGCCGGTTCGGACGGGCTCCGCGTCGCTCTCAACTTCGTTGATGGAACCGCCTGGAAGGGTGAGTCGGGCCTGTCGCCGCAGCTCCCGCCCGGACTACCTGGGTTGGTCGAGTTGCGGTTCCTGTTGCTCTCGCTCGGTCTTTCCGGGCTGGTTGAGCTGGCTTGGCTGTACCTTCCAGGTGAAGATCCCGTCTGCGACAGTTCGAGGTCTGCTGGTGAGTATGGCTGGTTTATTTGAGCGTTTCTGTCTTCTGGTGGGGGGTGTTCGGCTTGCGTTGGGGGGTGTGCCGTTGATGATTCCGGCCTTCCGTCGTTTACCGGCTTGGTTGTTGGGGCTTCCCCTCCCTCTCTGCTTTCCTTGGTTGTTGTTGTCGAGGCGTCGGGGGTGTTGGCGGCTAGTCTGGACCGTAGCTGGTCGATGTGCCGCTTCCAGCTCCTTCCGTCTGTCGTTTGGAGTCTGTATGATCGGGGCCCGGTTACCTGTGTTATTTGTGCAGGTACCCAGAGGGGGTCTCCCGTGAAGTTCTTCGCGTAGACCGTATCCCCGATGTTGAATGCCCGGTACCGGCTGGAGGAGTCCGGGGGTTTCTCTGGGTTGTAGGTGGGGTGTAGGCGGTCCAGTGGAGACCTCAGTTTCCTTCCCATCAGTAACTCCGCTGGGCTCTTGTTCGTGGTCGTGCTCGGCGTGATGTGCTGTATGAAGAGTAGTTTGTTTATTTTTTCCTGGATGTCGCCGGTTTCGATTTTTTGGATGGCTTTTTTTGTGTATTGGACCATCCGTTCCGCCCTACCGTTCGCCGCCGGGTGAGCCGTCGAGGTTAAGGCGTGTCGGATGCCTCGTTCGGCCAGGTATTTTTCAAATGCCAGTGCCATGAACTGTGGCCCGTTGTCCGACACTATGACATCCGGTAGCCCGTGCGTTGCAAAGAGTTTGTTGAGCTTGTCGATGACCGCTTCTGTTGTTGTTGCCCTCATAGTGCTTACCTCCAGCCAGTTGGAGTAAGCATCTACGGTGATGAGGAATGTATGCCCATTGGTTGGCCCGGCGAAGTCTATGTGTAGTCGCGACCATGGTCCTCTCGGGGTTTCCCATTCCAGGACCGGGGCGGCGGGGGGTTGGCTCTCGACTCTTGGCACCTGCTGCAGCCGGCGACCCATGTCTCGATTTGTTTGTCCATCGCTGGCCACCAAGCGTAGCTTCTGGCCAGGGCTTTCATCTTGACGACTCCCGGGTGTCCCTCGTGCAGCATTGCCAACACTCTGTTTTGTAGTGCTTCCGGTATGACTACCCGGTCGCCCCAGAGTATGCACCCCCTTTGTGAGAACAGCTCAATTTGGCGGTTTCGGAAGGCTTTGAACTGCTCGCTGCCGTCATTTTCTGGCCACCCCCGCTCTACCCAGCTCAATACCCGCGCCAGCCGTTTGTCTTTATTTGTTTCATGGGCAATGTCTGGTGCAGTTAAGAGTGGGCTGGGTAGGGTCTCGATTTGCAGGGTCGTCGTTGTGGGCGCTGGGTCGTCGTCTAGGTCGGGTAGTGGTGACCGGCTGAGTGCGTCAGCATGCGGGATGTTCTTGCCGGGCCGGTGTGACAGTTCGTATGAGTATGCGGCAAGGAACTCGGACCACCGCGTCATCCGGGGTGACAGGATGTTCGGGGTGGCCTTGTTCCCTGCGAGTATCCCGAGCAGGGGCTTGTGGTCCGTTATGATCGAAAAGTTCCTACCGTAAAGGTACTCGTGGAACCTTTTCACTCCGGCGATGATGGCGAGGGCTTCTTTGTCCAGTTGACTGTAATTTCTTTCCGGCTTGGCCAGCGTTCGGGAGAAGAAGGCGATGGGTGCTTCCTTCCCGTTGGGTAGGGTGTGGCTGAGGACTGCTCCGATGCCGAAAGGTGATGCGTCGCAAGTAACCGTGAGCGGGAAGGTCTCGCTATACTGGATCAGGACTGGGTCCGATGTCAGCAGGTTTTTTGTTCATTGGAACGCAGTCTCCTCCCGCTTCCCCCAGGTCCAGATGGCCGCTTTATCGAGTAGCCGGTGTAGGGGTTCCACCACGGTCGCCTTTTGGGGTAGGAAAACTTTGTAAAAATTAAGCAGTCCCAAAAATGCCTGTAGTTCCGCCTTGTTTGTTGGTGTGGGGGCTTCCTTGATGGCTCTGAGTTTCTTTCCGGTTGGGTGTATTCCGTGCCGGTCCAGGAGGTACCCCAGGAACTCGACCCTCTCGGTGTGGAGTTGGCATTTGTTTCTTTTGACTTTAAGGCCGGCGTCTTTGAATTTGTTAAGCACTGCCCTTAAATGGGTCTCCAATTGTTCTCTGTTGGCGGCTGCGATCAGCACGTCATCGAAGTAGGGAACCACCCCTTTTATTCCCTGGAGGAGCCTTTCCATGAGACTTTGGAAGACTCCTGGGGCGACGCTGACTCCAAATTGGAGTCGGTTGCACCAAAAAGCCCCCTGGTGTGTAACAATTGTTTGCGCTTCGGCTGTCTCCGCATCGGCCGGCAACTGCTGATACGCTTGTGCCAAGTCGAGTTTTGCGAAGACCCGGCTTCCCACCAGTGAGTGCAGAAGGTGCTGTACTACTGGGACTGGGTAGGCGCTTTGCTGCCTTTTTCTCTCCTCGGCAACGCTCCAATCCACACTTTCACTCTAAGTGTCGAGCCACTCTATCCCCCTTTCAGTTTTCAAACTGCTTTTCTGGCCGCTTGTCTCCAGCTTCCCCCACTGTTACTCACAATGAAACAGGGAGAATCAGACCATCTCTCTCATGGCTTTGTAGTCCTTCTGCCCTTTTCCGCTCAGACCCTTCAGGCAGTCACTTTTTGCTTCATCAGTTCAGTGGCAGACCGGACTTTGGAGCCGCCATTAGCTGGCAGCTGGCTCAATCGCGCTGGTCTCAGAGGCTCTTCCTTCGTTGCTGGGGAGTTGCCTACCCCCAAACAGCAACCCGGGGGTCCTCTATTCTGACACGAAGCTCTACGGGTTTCGTGTTTCCACTGGGGATCCCTCCAAACGCGAGAAGAGGTGTTCGAAAGCCCCAGCTGGGCTTCTCCACCTCTGGATGTCCCTGTCCTGCCACCGGAAGTTTTCTAAATTTTCTAAAGGCTCCCGGTAGGACTCAAGTGTCAGGAGCCCTTGACTCCCCTAATCTTCAATTAGGGTATACAGTCTCTGCTCCCTCCTTTGCATTCTTTGCCTGTCAGGGCAATTTCTCGCAAAATGCCCCTCCTTACCACAAGTAAAGCAAGCTGGGGCGGTCCCGGTCCACGATTGTGAGTGGCAAGATGTCGGTGTGGTTCTTGAATGTGACCTTAAAGTGCCC